GGTCTTGGAATATACCAAGATATCATCAATGAACACAATAACCAAGCGATCTAGCATCGGCCTACACACTCGATTCATCAAATTCAAGAATACTGCAGGCGCATTGGTGACCCCAAATGGCATCACCACAAACTCGTAATGTCCATAACGAGTCTGAAACACAGTCTTCTCCACTTCCTCCTCTCTCAACCTGACCTATTGATACCTGCACCTCAGATCTATCTTGGAGAACCAAGATGCACTCTACAACTAATCAAATAGTTGATCAATCCGTAGAAAGGGATAACGGTTCTTCACTGCTAACTTGTTCAAATCTCGGCAATCAGTACACATCCGGTGCGAACCATCCTTCATTTTGATGAAAACAATAGGCGATCCCCACGGAAAACTGCTCGGTCTGATGAACTCCTTGCCTAGCAGTTCCAGCAGCTTAGATGAGAACTCCAACATCTCAGGCGGCGCCAAGCAGTACGGCGCCTTGGCAATCGGGGTCGCACCTGGCACAAGGTCAATCTTGAACTCGACCTTCCTCTCAGGTGACACACAGGGTAACTCCTCCGGAAACACATCATCAAAATCCATAACAAATGGGACCTATGAAACTGAAACCTAATGCGTACCCACCAGATATGACAAATAACCCCCACACCCGTGCTGAATATACTGTCGAGCTGTGGCTGCAGAACAAAACCCTAAACCCATCTTGGTGCCCTCTCCATAGATAACCGGTTCTCCCTTATTTAGGGTTCAAACTACCATATGCTGACCCTCACAATCAATTATAACACCGAAATGGCTAAGCCAGTCCATACCCACAATCACGCAGACATCCCCTATGGGGATAATGATCAAATTGATCAAATAAGGCACCCTGGAGATCTCCAGAATACAACCCTGATATACTGATGATGCAGAAACCCCGTGTTCGTGGGCGATAGAAACTCGCAACAGACACTCTATCTCCCCAATGGGCATATCAAACTCCATACTAAATGATCGAGACAAAAAAGACCGACTCGCACCAGAGTCACAAAACACTATATCAAGCAAAGAGTTCAGTAGGAATGTAAGCATAACATAAAACATAATCAACAGAACAATGGATAGAAACATACTTGTCACAACATCTGGAGCTGCTTTGGCCTCCTCGGTGTAGTAAAACATGGTCAAAAATTGGTCAAACATGGTCAAACTCAACAAACCCACTGAGTCAATCCAGCCAAGTCAACTCAACCGAGTTAACTTAACATCGGTTGATCCATCCAAGTACATGAGGAGTTCCCAGAAGTATGCTTAGAGTACACAAGGCCTCACATTGATTAAGTTATAGGGTGGTTGACCGAGTACGCAGGGCATACTCCCACCTATGTAGGGCGTACCCTCGCAAAATCCACAACTTCATTAAGTGCTTAATGGCTTAAGCACTTAAGCCCAAACTTCAGATCTTTGGTCCAAATTCACCCTAGAGTCATAAAGTCTCCAACTTTATGACTTTACACGTCTAAAAAGTCCTTAATACATGGTCTTAATTCATTAAGACACTCCACAAGATGCATGAGACACTTCTAGCCATTAGGACCTCACTTTTATGACTAAGGGCCCCTCCAAGGGTCTAAATGGAAAAATCAAAACATACAGAACATGCCATGCTCAAGATGGAGCATTTGGGACCTAAAAGAAGCATAAAAATACCCAATAAAGAGATCTAGAAAAGAATCCATCAAGGTATGAACTTTATACCTTGAAATGAAAGGGAAAAACTTCCAGATCCAAGCCTTACTTCAAGCTTCCAAGCTCCTTGATGAAACCCCTTCTTCCTTTAACACATCAAAAACACACTCTTGAGCTAAAAACACACTCACTAAGGGCTAGGGTTTGCCAAAAACGACTCAAAGAGTATGAAGGCTGAAAAGGTGGAGAGAAATGAACCATAAGGGTGTTTAAATACTCCTGAAACCCTAAAACTTAGGGTTACTTCCAGACGTGAGTACGCCCATCGTACATATTTGTTCGTCCAGCATACTAGGGCGCACCCTAGTACGCTCATCGTACCCACATGTACTGTTAAGACCGCTGTTGTGCACGATTTAACAAATAAAAATAAATAATAAACTGCTTGATTGCACTAACAGGTAGTACAAGTAAGCAGGGTCGGATCCTTAGGGACACATCCTAATGTTTACACCCTTTTGCATAAGGTGTGATCTAATTCTTGATGAATGCAATAAACATAAAAGGGGGGGGGGGTTATTTCTGAAAATTAAACTAATAGAAATCGAAAATTACAAAAGAACAACTAAATTTAAAGTGATGAAAATTCAAATATAAGAAAGCAATTCCAATTTTGCGGTGACTCCCCTAATCATATAATTAATATTCGACACAATATTTAACTATGCGCTTGTTTAAACTGGTACTAAGGTTCATTAACAAGCTCTAACGACCTTTATTACAAAAATCATTTAATCAAAATAAGCTCTATGAATTAAATCAAACTTTTTACTAAATTAACCAAACAAGCTCTTGACTAATAAAGAAAAGTTGCATTAGACACAGTATAACTCCCAATAAAGTTCAATACCTCTCATGAGCTCGGAGGCGTAGAAACTTGTTTGATCATTTCATACTAGAGTTAACCCTAAAATCAGAATTAATCTAATACTTGTCACTTTTTACTAATTAATCTAGACTATTACGGATCTAAACAATTAGATGAGTAGAATGATTCACAAACAATTTAAGTGGCCAACAGAAACTGAAATCAAAATCAAACATTCAACTTAACACAGAATTGATCAAACTAAACAGTAATCATAGTCAAACGTAGTGCCTAACGATTAATCATACAAAAAGGTTATGTCTTGCGAAACTGAAATATGAGTTTTCAGCCTGACATGGCTAAAAATGGACTACAAACAGTGAAAATAGAACATAAACGATAGATCTTACTAAGCTATGAATTGGAATTGAATCATCTCCTTCAGATCTGCGTTCTTCACTTGAAAACCTTTGAAAATTGCCTCTGAATCACCAGGAATCGCCAATTAGGGTTACTAGAAGGGTATCAGGCAGTATTTATACGTCTAGCTGTCAAAACGCCATACCTGCGATTTGCAAAGGGACAACCTGCGATCACAGGTATCAATAAAAAACGTGTCACAGGATTATTTAATGAAGTACGTTGCTATTTTGAGGCAATTTGACAAACCTGCGATTGCAATGGCAGAACCTATGATCGCAGGTTCTCTTTTTTTCTAATCTGGTGAATTTTATGACTCGTTGGAACCTTGATGGCAACCTGTGACCTAACCTGCGATCACAAGGTCAAACTTGCGATCGCAAAGACATAACATGCGATCGCAAATGAGGCTTTTTGGCTCTTTTTTTCATCGTTCCTGCTTCCAAGTAGTTCTCGATCATTCCCCGACATCCTTCCTCGGTCTAGACTCGAATTAAGCTCATAAGCATCCACAAACGCATCCCGAACTAGCACAATCATCCATGTGCTCCAAATGGACCTGAAAAGTCATAACAAACGTGAGCAGTACGGGCATTCTTCAAAATAATCATGAAACACGAAATACATAAGAATAATCGGGAATTAGTTAACTTTTTATAATGAAATACGTAGGAAATTGTGCTAAAAGATGCATATAAAATGCATCTAACAAACCTCCCCAAGCTTAGACCTTACTTGTCCTCAAGTAAGGAAATGATAACTTTAGAAACGGAATTAAGGCTAAGGGCAGTAAAGGAATAAACTAGACACACATCAACTCGAAAACGAAAACCTAAACAATGAAAACTATCAAAGCTAAACACAAAATATGCATGCACAAATAAAGAAAATGAACAATAAACTAAAACAATATGCAAATGAGAACGAACAACTAAAATGAAACATGTTTTTTTTTTCTTCTTACGATCAGACTTTACATCGATAATAGGCTCCAATCACTGACACCAAAGCAACAATCATGCTATCTTTCATGTGTCACAGACTCCCCAAGTAAGGAAGACCACAAAACGGTGTAACCCAATAATCCAACTCTAGTTTTATCTAAACTTTCTACCTTCATTAGCTTTATGAGTGAAAATAACATAGTCCGGCTCTCATGTCCTTAAGACTAGATGACCAACCTCTGTAGGAGCCCGAGCTCTATGCTTTCACTTTTTCCGAGAGCCACAAATATCATATCACACATTTCTTTATTCGCCAGATGTAACTTTGTATCGGCTTCTAACTTTATTGAACTTTGATTTACACTTCGTTTTGAGCTTGATTTCTTCAATCTCTCTCTCTTTTTTTTTTGGAATTTCTTGAAGTTTCTTCAATTGAGCACTTGAAATTCTTTGATTTGGGTACTAGATATAACGTTGTACCCTTTCTTCATTTGACTGTGTGGATCTGATACTTAAGCTCTCTGTTACCGTGAGGGTAACGCGTGTCAACAAATAGGGCCATGTTTTGTGGGTTCACAGTTGCCGATAAAGATTCTTTTTAAACATTAATAAGCAAATCATCCTAGAGCTGTTATTACCGCCCAAAAAACATTTCAGTATGCCATTTTTTTTATTATCTAAGGCCGGGGTCTTGAATCACGGTGTCTTGGGTCCCCTGGTTATGATAGCTGATTCTACACTTCCAATAACAATCAAGTCGCTTCATATTTTTTTCATTTTCAATTCTCAATATTCCACTTCATGGAGCTATCGTATGTAAACAGTGTTATCACCTCGTATTTTTTTTGAATGCAAAATGCAACAAAACAAATATATTTTTTAAAAAACTAAGAATAAATAAAATGACAAATAAAAGAAACATAAATGAAAAATCTTTTTGGATTTTTAAGTTTTCTAATTTTTTTAGATGTTTAAATTTTTTTTAAGATAATTCAAATGACAATATAATTTTTTTTTTTAACAAAAAGATAAGAAATCCCCTCCCCAAGCTTAAAATTAAGCATTGTCATCAATGCTTAGGGAGGAGTGGAAGGCGACTACTCTGACGGGGGTGCATAGCAACGGAAGAAATCGTCGCGGAAGTCAGTGAAATGGTCGCGCAGACCTAAGAGTTCGTCACGATAATCGGTCACCTGAGTGCTATATTGCTGATAATCAAGGCGAAGACCAGTCATCGTCTGCTGAAGGGATGCAATATCCTGACGGAGGTCAAGATAATGCTGGTAGGTGAAGGGAGAGTCGGGGTGAAGGTGAGATGGCTGGGTGGGTGGGGGCTGATCGTGAAAGTCAGTCTGCATAGGATCAAGCGGGCTAAAGGATATGGGTGTGGCGTCTGTGTAATCTAGGTGTTGAGTGGATGAAGATGGTCGATCAGACTGTGGGCGTTGGGCCTGTTGTGCCCTACGTAGGCAAGGAGGTGGTGGGATATTCGAAGGAAGCACCCACACAGTCTCGCTAATAGGGCCAGGGAGAGCGATGGCATCAGGTCTAGTGACCTTGAAATACGTGGAGCGACCCCGCATCCAAACAAACCCACTAGGGGCATTACGAAGCATGTGCATGGCCCGAAAGTTCTGCAGGGTCAGACAAAAATAATCACCTGTAAAGAAGGTGTACTTTGGAGGAGATTGCGGCACGAGGGAGTGGGTAATGACAGAAATCAAACCACCACAGCGAATTGCACCGCTAGTGCAGAGAGCTATAACTCTATGGAACCGTCTAATGATAAGATCACCAAAATGTGGATGGTATGACCCAGTGATCATGCACCACAAAAGAAAAAGCTCGGCTTTGCCAGCTTTCGTAGTCTCAATCTGTGCATAAATGATATTGCATATAATTTTCAATGCAATTTTGAGAACAGGGTGCACGATGCTAGTCTGTACGGATGAGGCTGAATCATATGACTCCAGACCGGTACTGGAGTACCTAAACTCGCGTACGTTAAAGGCGGGTGTGGGCTGGGATAAACTAGTGATAGGGGTATGGAAGATAGCATATAACTAGTCCACATGAAGAGTGTAAGGGGTGCTAAAAATACGAAAAGATATGTTTCCCTCATAACTTATGTCACCAAGCGTGGCTAAAAACTCTTGGGTCAACAGGGGACAAGTGACAAAATCTGCAGATAATAAGCGCTCCCAGCCAATGTTGGCGAAAAGAGTGCGAACACCATCATAAATATGGAGTTCCTGCATTAAGGTGCGGCTAGGGTCCTAGACCTATGGCAAAATCTCGTGGTCGAGAAGTCACTGGTAACAGTCAAGTGTGGCCTGTGAACCTAAATCTACAGTAACATTGTCCACCTGTACAGTGTATGACGGGTCTGAGGTGTCAACCTGCTTGCGTGAACGGGAATGTCTTGGGGGCATTTTGTCAGGTAAAAAAAAATGGGACAAGGCAGGCACAATTTCTAGGTAAAAGTCGAAATCAAGCAAAAGTAATTATGTCTAACTACTCCCAAGCTGATACACAAGCCCGCAAAAATATATGACAAAAACAAAAATTTCAGTTGCAGAACGAAAATACCTGACTGTGCGCTGAGCAGTAGTATATTTTCCGCCCAATTTTTTTTTTTTTTTTGATTTTTGAAATTCCGTTCGGATGGATCTCTTCTAAATTGCGTCAGGAACAAACATATCTACTTTTCGTGGCCTACGGGTAAATAATGGAGCATAGATCAGAAAAAGAAACTCACAAAAATTCAAATAAACAAATGAATAAAATGAAGTTTTTGGAGAAATTCAACCGTTAAATCATGATTTCGTTACCATAAATATGTTGTAAGAGTAAAATAGAAGATATTGATACATTTTTTTCATTATTTGGACGAAAAACGAGCGATTTGGGTGTTTGTTGGTGAAAGAACTCGAAAATTAGAGGATTTCAGAGAGTGTTTTTGAAATGTGGTGGTGAGAAATGAGGCCAGCAATCACAATTTATAGGGAAAACACAACCTGCGAACGCAATGAGGGAACCTGCCATCGTAGGTTTGACTTTTTGACTGTTGGGCACGTTTTCCAATGCAAGGTAACAGATAGATTATAAGAAACGGATACCTGCGATCGCAAGGGGGAAACATGTGATCGCAGGTTTTGCGAAAATTACTTCAGCCACTTTTAAAATTGGCCAAAAATGTTCTAAACCTAAAAACTGATACATGCAATCGCAAGTGGTAAACCTACGATCGCAGGTTGCTTTTTTTGTGAAAAACGAACAAAAAAAACCTTGACTGCGTGCTGCGACCCTAATCTGTATAACCTGCAATCGCAAAGACAGGACTTGTGATTGCAGGTTCCACCAAAACCTAATTTTTCAACTTTTTACAAAATCTCTCTATTCCCTTTTATTTTAAAAACGCGATTCAATTAAAAAGAAACGACCTAAGTAGCTAAAAACACACAAAAATTAAAAATAAGTTTCAAAAACGAAAACCAAAGCAAACGCCCGGGTTCCCTCCCGGTAAGCTGCCGGTTTTTATTGTCGTTGGCTCGACATTGTTACTTGGTTTCCTCAATTGCGGTAAGTCGGGACCTCGACTACGTCCACTTCTTCATTTGTAATATGAAACCCTTCGTAAAATGGTTTGAGACGGTGGCCATTTACCTTAAAAAAATTTCCTATTTGTTCACTCTTAATTTCTATAGCACCATGATCAAACACATTAGTAACAACAAAAGCTCCCACCCAACGAGATCTCAATTTACCGGAAATAAGTTTGAAACGAGAGTGATATAAGAGTACCTTTTGACTGGTAGTGAATACCTTTTGCGAGATCATCTTATCGTGAAACGCTTTCGTCTTCTCTTTATAGATTGCCTCGTTCTCGTAAGCATCATTCTTGATTTCTTCTATCTCTTGAATATCCAATATTCTTTTCTTCCCAGCTTCATCCATGCTCATATTTAACTTTTTGACAGCCCAATATGCTCGATGCTCCAATTCAACCGGTAATCGACAAGGTTTTCCGAAAAAAATTCTATATGGTGACATACCAATAGAAGTTTTGTATGCTGTCCGATGAGCCCATAACACATCATCCAATTGAATACTCGAATCTTTCTTGACTGGATTGATGGTTTTCTCTATAATGCCCTTAATTTGTCTGTTTGAAGCTTCAGCCTACCCATTGGTTTGTAGGTGATATGCTGTGGATACCCGATGTGTGACATCATATTTCTTGAGGATTGCTTCAAGGGTGCGGTTGCAGAAATGTGTGTCCTGATCACTAATAATAGCCTTTTGTATCCCAAACCTAGCAAATATATTTGTCGTGACAAAATCAATCACAAACTTGGCATCGTCTGTTCGTGTAGCTTTTGCCTCGACCCATTTAGATACATAATCCACAACAAGTAAGATGTATACAAACCCGAAAGAAGGCAGAAACGGACCCATGAAATCTATACCCAAAATGTAAAAAATTTCACATACCAAGATTGGAGTAAGTGGCATTTGATTGCGAGATGTCAAAGACCCAATCATTTGACATCTTTCACAGGTTTTGCAAAATAGAAAAGAGTCACGAAAAATATGAGGCCAATAAAGACCACTATCTAAGACCTTGCGTGCGGTACGTTGTGGACCATAATGCCCCCCACAAGCTTCTAAATGGCAGAAATTCAGGATTGACTTGACTTCATCTTGAGGTACACATCTTCTAATCACCTGATTGGCACAATGTTTCCATAGATACAGCTCGTCCCAAACATATCTTTTCGCTTCCTTCTTTATGTTATCTTTCTGAGCTCGGGTAAGATCTACAGGGAGTTCTCTGGAGACCAAGTAATTCACAATATCTACAAACCAAGGAGGGTTTTAAACAACGAATAAATGCTCATCAGGAAATGTTTCGCAGATCGGTGTCGGGTCTTCGGGTGGGGTGAGTCGGCTCAAATGATCAGCTACCAAATTTTCTCTCCCACTTTTGTCTCTAATCTCTATATCAAATTCCTGTAGCTACAAAATCCATCTAATCAACCATGGCTTTGAGTCTTTTTTGGCAAGAAGGTACCGAATAGATGCGTGATCCGAAAAGATTATGACTTTTGTGCCCAACAAATATTGTCTGAATTTTTTCAATGCAAAAACAATTGACAACAACTCTTTTTCAGTGGTGGAGTAATTTTCTTTGGTGCTGTCCAAAGTCGTTGATTCATAATATATAACGTGGGGAACCCAGTCTTTTCTTTGTCCAAGAACAGCTCCAACAACAGTGTTACTAGCGTCACACATTATCTCGAATGGTAAACTCCAATATGGGGGATGAATGATGGGTGCAGAATTAAGAAGATTTTTCAGCACATCAAAAGCTTTCTTGCAATCTTCATTGAAGTCAAATTCAACGTCTTTTTGCAATAGCTGGCACATAGGAAATGATATCTTTGAAAAATCTTTTATAAACCTCTTGTAAAACCCTGCATAGCCAAGAAAGGAACGGACTTCCTGAACATTCTTCGGGTAGGGTAAGCTCTTTATAATATCTATTGTTGCTTTATCGACTTTCAAACCTCTTTTTGAAATAATATGCCCAAGAATCAGACCTTGGTCAACCATAAAGTAACATTTTTCAAAATTTAAGACCAAGTCTGTTTCTATACATCTTTGTAAGATTTTTATGAGGTTTTTTAAACAAATATCAAAGGAGTCTCCATAGACGGTAAAATTATCCATGAAGACTTCTATGGTATTTTCGACATACTCAGAAAATATACTAACCATACACCTTTGAAAGTTAGCGGGTGCGTTGTAGAGTCCGAATGGCATATGCTTATATGCAAATGTTCCGAAAGGGCAGGTGAAAGTCGTTTTCTCCTGATCTTCTAGAGCAACTGGAATTTGGTGGAAACCTGAAAATCCATCCAAGTAGTAGTAGTGGGATTTTCCGGGTGGTTGCGTTTAATTTCATGTAGTCAATACACACACGCCATCCGTTCTGAACCCGAGTTGGAACTAGCTCTCCTTCTTTGTTCTCTACCACTGTAACCCTGACCTTCTTAGGAACAACTTGAACTGGGCTGAACCATTTGCTGTTAGAAACTGGGTATATCATCCTAACATCCGATAACTTCATAACTTCCTTTTTAACCACCTCCATCATTGTTGGGTTTAATCTGCATTGGGCCTCGCACGATGGCTTATAATCTTCTTCCATCAGAATTTTGTGCATGCATAGAGATGGGTTGAGTCCTTTAATGTCTGAAATAGTCCATCCAATTTCAGTTTTATACTCCTTCAAAATTCTGATCAGCTTGAACTCTTCTTTTTCTGATAGCTTGCTGGATATGATAACTGATAATGTTTGTTTTTCTCCAAGATATGCATATTATAGATGTTCTGGAAGTGTCTTCAGCTCCAAGATAGGAGCTTGCACTACAGAAGGAAAAATCTTGGAGTTAGAAATTGGTAATTTAAGAGTTTGGGTACCATACCTCAACTTCGTCTGTTGGTCCATATGAGCTGCTATCTCTTGAACTTCTCTACTAACCGCATAATTTTTTGATATAACCTGAGCTGTATTAATAGACAAATAATTGTGGAGCACAAATGCTAGTGGCTCATTGTTAGTAATCTCAAAATATTCTGCAGACAATGGTTCAATTACATCAATGAAATTTAGGGCTGAAACGTGTCACGAGATTATTTAATGAAGTGCGTTGCTATTTTGAGGCAATTTGACCAACCTGCGATCGCAGGTTCACTTTTTTCTCATATGGTGAGTTTTGTGACTCGTTGGAACCTCGATGGCAACCTGCGACCTAACCTACAATCGCAAGGTCAAACCTGCGATCGCAAAGACATAACACATGATCATAAAGACATAACTATGATGTATTTAGTTTATGGATCTTTAGCTCTTAAATCTCCAAATTGCTCCCACTTAGTAAAAACCATTTATGTCTTATGGAATGACAATTAGTGGGACTAATAGAAACTTCATACTAAACAATCATCTAGGATATTCTACATAAATGCAGTTAGTAGATGCTAGAGTGGTTAAGCTTATTGTCTAACATGAGCTCAATGACTCCATATGTTTTAGATAAGGATAAACCATTTCATCCTTAGTCTAATATAAGTATCTAATCCACTTGTTTGGTTGGAGATATATATTTAATATATAGCTATTTTAATGAGCATAATTCCAAAATTTTGTAAAGTAAATAGTTCTTTTAAAACATCATACAATAGATTGCAAGGTATACTTATATCCTCTTCAAAAACTTGTACTATCGACATTCAACTAGTGGCTAGGTGACCCTATCCCACTAGAGAATACGAAGTATACCTTGAATATCAAAAGATATATTCAAGTAACCAGGTGATCATGTGCCACAAGAACCATACTAATGATGAGTGAATGTTTTTGAGA